ATACCTGATCTGAATGTTGTTTCTATGTTGAGTTGATACCTGATCTGAATGTTGCTTCTATGTTGAGTTGATACCTGGTCTGAATGTTTTTATGTTGAGGTGATTTGTGATCTGAATGTTGTTTCTATGTTGAGTTGATATCTGATCTGAATGTTGTTTCTTTGTTGAGTTGATACCTGATCTGAATGTTGTTTCTATGTTGAGTTGATACCTGATCTGAATGTTGCTTCTATGTTGAGTTGATACCTGGTCTGAATGTTTCTATGTTGAGGTGATATCTGATCTGAATGTTTCTATGTTGAGGTGATATCTGATCTGAATGTTGTTTCTATGTTGAATTGATACCTGGGCTGAATGTTTCTATGTTGAGAGTTGATATCTGATCTGAATGTTTCTATGTTGAGGTGATATCTGATCTGAATGTTGTTTCTATGTTGAGTTAATACGTGGTCTGAATGTTTCTATGTTGAGTTGATACCTGATCTGAATGTTTCTATGTTGAGTTGATATCTGATCTGAATGTTTCTAAGTTTGGGATTAGGATATTTACAGAACTACTACAAATATGTTCACTTCGTATCCCTAAATATTACACTGTATGCAAATTATTCTAGAACCCTCTTAATCCAGATTTAATTGCATGCAAATTATTCTAGAACCCTCTTAATCCAGATTTAATTGTATGCAAATTATTCTAGAACCATCTTAATCCAGATTTAATTGCATGCAAATTATTCTAGAACCCTCTTAATGCAGATTTAATTGCATGCAAATTATTCTAGAACCCTCTTAATCCAGATTTAATTGCATGAAAATTATTCTAGAACCCTTTTAATCCAGATTTAATTGCATGAACATTTGTTAAAGTATGTCCCCTGGACTAAAGCTGAAAAATGTATACGTGTATGTCATGTTGTGTTCATCTTCACATCTAGGGGTGTGCGTTGTGTGACGTGTTGCTAGCAAGAATAGCGCCCCTCGGCGGTAATATTATACATTCGCCCCTTAGTCACTACGACATGTCGGAGAAAAAAACTCACAGAATTTGATGCAGTTATCATGACTTTGAGATATTTATATGTTTTGTGGATTTTTTATGAAACGCAAATTGACCGAGCAATCAAAATAACTATGACTAGTATCGAAGTCAAAAATACAAATATATTCTCTGATGGAGGAAATAAAAATGGAAAACTTGCTTCTCGCCATGATGACAAAATATTTCTCTTTGCAACAGCTAATATGAGATTGGTCTGGGAGATAGTGTACAAATTGAGAAATAATACGTATTTGGGAGGTCTATTGTATTACGATTTTGTTCTACAGGAGCCTTCCACTGGCAGTTTACGTTTACGTCACGTCACGTCGGGTGTGGAATGACGCCCTCAGTCGATTACATTTCGACACATTCCTTTTAATTTGTTTGCGTTGATTTGAGAAATACTTGAAAAATTAATTTAAGATAACTTACGATGTTCGCACCAGAAAAACTCCTCCTGGCATAAGTTGCGCCCTTGGTTAAAAATAATGATGTCACAATACTGTGTTCATGTAAGCATTTCCTTTCTTTACAATAGGTGTAAACATGGCGGCCACCTTAATGCTTCTGGAGGAAGTTACCAGGGGGGTTGCATGACGCAATTGGTTGAAATAATCGTCTTATTTGCATAAATTAATATTCATGAGCAATGGAAAACTCGTCTTTTCAGTAAAATGCGCCAAAATGCTTTCCGATAGCATACATGATAGTTCTAAATTGACTGATTTTATCGTTACGAGCTGAAAAAGAATCGAAAAACTAATGTAAAGACGTTTTTTTAAGACACGTTTTTGATCATACTCCAGCAATTTGTTGAAAGTAACCACAAGTTTTTTTTCTTTACTGTGATCATAGCAAATTACGAAATTCATGGAGAATGCAGAGGCACGTTTATATTTCACTCTAGTACTATTGCTCAAAATTACTCAAAATGTTTTTAATGACTTTTATCAGTGACAAGTTACCTAATTAGTATGCATTTGGAGAAAGCACAGCATGCGCAGTTTGAAATGAAACAATTTCGAACGCAATAAAATCACGCTTAGAACTCGAAATCCAGCAATAAATTGTGGCGTCAAACTGGCTGTCGGTTGAATTGTTTTGCAATAGACATAATTTTAGAGCCTGTATTTTTCTATGAATTGTTTCTAAGTTTTGTTGAGGATTATTCTGTAAAGAAATTGTTAAACTTATTTCGTCTGTTCGTAAAAGGGACGTTGTAGCTTTGACGATGGGCTATGGACGACTGACATAGAAATGTTCCATTCATATCGGATGGCGCCCTCTCGTGCCAATCCCACCCTGGAAGTTACATTATGTTTAAAGTGGTAGTGTATGTATATTAATTACATAATTTACATAGATTAGCCAATGTTTGCTGTTCATCAGATGTTGCCAGTACTACTTCAACGAAACATGGTAGCCTCGTTATAACTGTAGCCTCGTTATAACAAACTCTTTGGGGGACATACAATTAGTTTGTTATAGTGAAATGTTCACTATAATGAAGCTCATAATACATTGGGTTTGTTGTGAGCGGGAGACACGTGTTCATTATATCAGGAAGTTCATTATAACGGTGTTCATTATATTGAGGTTACATAAACGTTCATAACAGAAGGACTAATTCAGATATTGTTGGTTTAAGCTGATATTGCTATGCACGAACGGAGAACAAAATAAAAATACAGGGGTTATCAGTAAAATCTACTTGTGTAGTTTATGTATGGAACTTATTGGTTTATGAGAGCTCCTCAAAGTATTATGTTAAAAGCTATTCAAAATAATTGTTTGGTTTCATCTCGTCAATTGATGCGAAATGCCAACCAAATAAAACCAAATAGAAATTATCAATAAAAAATCAGCAGTGTCTGTCTTGACTATTTGGCGGGGTGCAGAAACGTTGCCGCATCGTTTGTTTTATGTTACTTAAACTTATTTTCGCAGTGGCGGCGGCACGGGGGCAGAGGGGCGGTCGTCCCCTCGAAAAAAATGTTGGAGGCGTCGCCCTTCCAAAGTCAAGCTAAAACCCTTTGTGACAGCAAAATGTGCCCCTTAAAGTGCAGGAAATAGCGTTTCAGAGGGTCTAGATTTCGGCGCGAGGTCTGGTGAACAGATCTTGCTCCCATGCAAACTTCGTGCCGGCGCCTCTGTTTCGCAAGTGATATTACAGCCCCCAGTTACATGCTATATATCATTGCGTTGAATATTCAATACTTTGTTGAACATAAATTTACACTAATGTAGTGTTTATTACAGACCAGACACTATACTTCATAAGTAATATTTTTAATGTATTTTTCGAGTCTGTTCAGTTATATTCATGTAAATCCAATCCAAACACAAGAATCACCATCGTTATTGTTATTTTTGGAAGTCGTGAAAATGGTGATAATAAAAATATTTTATATAATGTAATGTAAAACAGCATCAGTATATTTATCACTCAATTTTATTTGTAGATCAATAAAAATAAATCATCCAGGGAAATCAGACGCAGTTCGGAACTCAAGAATAAATGTGTTATATTGTTAGTTTTCAATAATTATTTTTTTCCTCATTGCCATGGCATTAAAAAGTATGTAAAATTCTTGATTATGAACCAATATTCAAATTGTCATGAATTCCCCGTGTTCATATTTAACATTGATCATTTATATGTATATATTTTTCATTCACTCTCATTTAATTAGGTCGAAGGAAATTTTAATTTTTCGATTTCGTTGGCAAGTGATTTCCGAGTAAATTGTTGTTGAGGGGGTACTAAAGACAACATTGGATTTGTCAACATTTGTTCAACACAACTTAAACTTATTTTCATTCATAAACTTGTATTTGAAATTTCATTTCAATCATACTTTTTTCATTTTAATTAAGCTCTACGAAAGTGGGTGGGGTGGGGGTGCAGATACTATCGACTCTGACGACCGTCAGCTCACTAGCGTTTTCTTGCTGTCATGGAATATTTGTTTAAGAATTATTTGTTGCCTTTAATAGCAAGGAATCAAAATAAATGACTTTCTCTATTGTATATTCTTTTGTTATGCAAATGTTCATGTGGCTTTATACATTATTCCATGTAAATAACGGACATGGGCCAACTAGTGCGCCCTCTTAGAACAAAACTGTGATTTTGTCAGCTTTGCTTCGACTTCTGGAAAGCAAATCTCAAAATTCATAAAAAGAGGACATAATATCGAATTTATCGGAATTAAACCCATCCAGAGATTAACCCAGCCCAGCTAGTATTCTGTTTTATGTGGTTCGATACATTATAAATATACGGGTAATAAATGGTTGTCAACTGATAAAGACATTAACATTTGCGCACGATCAAAGTGAAGGTTTAAATGCTATAAATAGACACATTAGCAGAATTTTGAATAGATTTACAAAAGCCCAAATAAATGTTTACGAGAAGATTTCATGTGAGGGACGAAGAATACGACATCTCGTTACACAGGGTCAAATCAGATCACTTAGCTGTTATATGCCCAAACGGTCACAGTGTTATGGTTAACAGTGCATTAATAAATTAATCAAGTATGCATGAGGAAAACAAATGGATCAGTTAGTTTATAACGTACACCAGTAATACCATACAATAGTCCCTCACAGGACGTGCGTCACTACCCAGTTCAGAGAAATGGCATCACCCATAGCGGAGATAAACGCCACCCTCTATTGACAACAGATAGAATTTGGAATAGACTTTTGTGAAAGCTGGTTATTAGTGCTTTCATCGATGCTAATATTCTTTATATCCGTCATTCTCGTGACACTCCTGTCCTCGCAATCCGTCCTTTCATATCATTCTCTGTAGTATGCCGAGTTACCCGTTGTAATATGTATTTGGCATTTGCTCGAATGGATAGAACATGGTCGTCGCCAAGTCGTCTATGATGTGTCTTACATATAAACACGGTTCGCACTAAACAGTGTGTTGTCAACAACGGGGAAAATGTCGCTACCATTATTGAATACACCCGTTAGCTACGAGTCGGAGAAGCCGCCAGGAATCACCGAGAAATCTGGCACTATCGTCAGACGCGATAAAACTCAGGAGACCGTGCTTGATGACCGATTGAAATTAAGTCGACTGCCAACCATTGTCAGCATACAGGAAGCTACAAAAAACGATTTATATAGTTCTGATATTTTGGACACGAATTTACAAAAAGCGATACGGCGAGCAAGAGAGCGGATCGCGCGAGGAGAGCTACCCTACGAAGCCGAGGAATGGAGACTTCCTGGGGCACCATTACCCGCCAGACCGGATTATTCACGTGCCTGTCCACGGTTTATCCGTCCTCCTTTCACATCAAGCAGAAATCGCAATAGACATCATAATGTTGAAGACACATATGGTGTAGCATCTTCGGTAAGTTTATGTGTTACTATGGCAAACGATATTAACGCAATTTGGTAAAACAGTATTGTTGGTGAGAATATGTAAGAACGTATAATGTAGATTGAATACTTGAAACAATAATATTGAACTTGGCTGGTTATCTTTAATGACAATGCATTCAGCTTATTTTTAACGCTTGACTTCAGTTTGTTCATATATACCCTAGGGTTTGACCTGTGACCTACAGTGTCCTCCCTTGTTCCTAACAAACACCTGAAAATAAACATCAGGACTTTATTCGCATAGATCCCAGTATAGTCCCATGGTTTTGGTCACGATAACGATCAACAATGAACGCAAACAGTTATGTTGACGTCGCTGCTTTGCTAGACTGGCTAAACGTGGTTTGAAGGACAATTACAATCTAACTGTGTAAGCATCGGAACAGGTGCGTTTAAGCACCGGCCTCGGTTGTCGGAAACCTTGTTGCGGGAAATCAAACACATTTGTCGGTGTTTTACGCGATTTCCGTTAATACTGTGCCCAACCTGTTTAACAGTCATTGATTGTGAAGGGTGATTTCCGCTAGGTTAAACTACTATACAAACAACCAATCACTTTGCTTGATATTTCCAATTAGAGTGTTTCTAAATCAGAGCTTGTGTGTAAATTATTTTGCTATTAGCACAAGGCGGGAAACAGTTATGCGACACGGTTGCCCGTAACGATAGCCTGGGCGTCGTCCGTTTCGTGTCGAGTGGACGGTCGTTACTATAGTTATATTTAAGTCAATCGTCACTCGGGATGCATTGTCCAATTATATAACAAAGTAAGGCATGTTACTAGCAATATTGACATCGACGCTGTGACAATAAGAACGTTCAGTACTGCTATGACAATACAGTGAAGAGGCATACCCTTAAAGTCGTACTTAACGTTACAATGCTGCCAAGTGACGCGTTCGGATCCCACGGGGTTACTACATATGTCCGATTACAGGACAGATCATATCACAGTGTATGCGGCCTTATCTATACATTTAGTACGTATCTCGGCATTTATCAACAATTTAAGATCATTTTAATATTTTATTGACTTTTCAACTTGATCAGAAATCGATATCGACTTCACTGTGTTTGCGGTGTGTCCGCTGGACTAGATTATAATACAACAATCTCTAGGCATTCTCTCCACTATCATCACTGTATATATGGTGTGATTGTTCTGAACCCTGGGTTGTCACCATGGCAACGTGTGGTAGAATCGCGTGTACAGTTAATTGTTACGTTGAGCAATGACCCGGAACTCAACTTTGAAAGCCCTTTCCGTAATTGAAGTAAATCCTACAATAAGCATGCTTATATCATTAATCTGTAGTTTAGGGGGGTGTCCGGTGGGTAGGAGGATGTCCGGCGGGTATGGGGTGGATGATAAGCTTCTATGGATATGTGATATGAAAAGACAAAAATATTTAAAATTAGGTCTCGTTAAATAGGACTTATTTTCGGTCAGTGTATTATACTTTCAGAGCGTTGAGTAACCCGGCATGTAGCTGGCAATGCCGGAGAGACGGTTTGGTTTACATTGTGGAATGTCGACGAGACAGGTCTCTCCGCGTGTACAGACTATTTACAGAACCACATACCAATACACTTAATTTACCATCAAATATTGCGCTCTACTCCAGTATATGTTTGCTTTGCAGGTTAGCTTTTATACTGTCTTCAAACACAGCGTGTGTTGGCCAGTGTTGAAATGCATACATCGTATGTTTGTTTGCTTCACAGTTGTGCCGACGTGACAGTTATATTAATGTATTGAATAAAAGCTGGTCGAACCAATCCGTGTTGGTAGACTTCTGTTCAAATAAATCTATTAACGAATATATCACGATCGCATTCAGTTAAAACAAGATGGCTTCCCTGTATATGGAACATCCATCAAGGTAGAGTATATGAGAGGACGTCGTCTTGTTTTCATCATTTCGTCTCTATTGAAACAATGACAATCTGTCTGAGAAAAAAATTAACTGCATCACTGCACGTTCGTTTGAATGTACGCGAAAAGAGTACGGTCATTATGCTAAAATTACATAAAATATTCATTACAAGTAATCAATTTAGTATTTCATATATTAGTAGCATCCGTTGCTATAGCAACCGGTATGTGATTGATAAACATGTTTGCCGAGAGAAGACAGCGGATGAGAAGAACCTCTGTTAATTTCCCTTTTTATATTTGACCTGTATTCAATCGAATCCTCCATTAGTCATACGAACGGATTAACTGGCTTAGCGTCAATCACGGTTTATCCCGGCAACAAAATGAAGACTTGTGCGCTTGGGATCGGCCATTTACTTGATAGGTGAATAAGCTCGTAACATAAATAGTTCAAATGTGTTCTTGGGGTGTGTTGAATCTCGGCGTGGTCAATCGTATTAAGACGACAAAAAAAGCTTCCTACACGTCTATCAAACGAATAATCAAATAAAAGAAGTCCATTTAAACACAATGTAAAAACAAACAGTTTCACTGAACGAGGGATTCAGCGATAGTGTCTCATAAAACAAATGTGCTGAATGGGAATGGCCACAATAATATCAAATGCAGAGTTATTATATGCTTTATCTAATCCGAAATGATTATCGTAAGTTGCCATGGCAACATGATTTGTTGTCATTTGTGGCCATTATCGTGATTTGTTGGGCATGTTGAAAGCGTAATGACGTGTACTACAATGCATGTATTATATTTAAACATACATCTACGCACTCTTTTTAACGGCGAGATTTTGTTGAACAATAAACGTCGTCTGCATTTTAATGTCTCGGGATGAAAGCAGTGAAAATATAGACGCGGTAAATGGCATTCGAGACAAGTGTACGGCATATGTGAAGTGACGGTTATTGCTTCTTGGGAGCTCAGAAAATTTACTGGGTTTATTAATATCAGATTTGGCATTGCAGAGTTTTAATATCATTGGTTTATGAAGAAAACATTATATTGTGGAATTAGAATTTAATTGGGTTTTAATTTAGAGAATTTACTATATCAGTTAAATAAGCAAAAATCAAAACAGTAGAATTGTACACTCCGGAATGAATATTTTTGTTATATCATCATTTATAAATATTTATGAATGATGGTTAAAGTAAAAAAACGGCTTGAATAACTTACTAGAATCACAGTGCCTTAGAGAATGTACATCACTCGTATATAGTATCTTTCCATACATGTATGTTATTATTATTGAGATAAACCCCCAAAACGATCCAACAACGACCCGTCTATTTTTGGACTTGCAATGAAGCGAAACATCTTCCGAGAATGTTTTATAAATATATCATAAATTGAAAAAAATGGCATGCCTTCATGAAACTGAGCGTAAACCAATAATATATTTTACACTCATTGTATACGTCGTATTGTTCCCATATCGAACAGGACTCTGGTTGGTTAAATCATTTCAAGTTGTTTGTTATAAATCCAGTAATTAATAATCCCGGTGATTAATGCATTCATTAATAGCGAGTTGTACGATGCATCCCACTGCATATATATCCGGTCCTGTGGGTTGGCCTCTGCTCTTAATTGATGTCCAATAGGGATGAATTACGGAGTTAAGACCCCGGGGTTAAGCCACTAAAGCAATAACACGACACGAGTCTATATCAAACGTATTTCCTTCTTCCGTTGTTATAATATTGTAACGTAGATACAAGTACCACATAATTAATTACGTGAACTACTACAGCTTGATAGCAATGATTAATGAGCAGCTATACGTTACGAAGTCACGCAATGTATTCATTATTCGCTGGATTTTAATTTCTCTATTTTCGTTAATAAGTGAAATTTGCTAAATTAAATCCTGGTGAACTTGTAGAATATTAACTCATTGGTTTACCTGTCAAGGTCGTGAACTTAAAACCCAGTACAATTGCTCACAACGTCAAAATAGTGAAAATAAATGGTTTTACAGTATGTATAGAGATGGCTATATTTCTTTGTGTCACTGGGATTTGTACGACCTGGTCTGAGTAATGTATGACAAATTGTAGTCATGTTAATCGAACACTATAAACCGATGACATATGTTATACATACCATACTAGAGATGGTACGGAGACAACAATAATATGCAGCATGTAGGATGCAATGAACCTCGTCAGTTCTAATAAATGTCATCTATTATTTATATAACATATGTGATGAAGACAACATCTTAATTACCTGACGTCCCGATTTCAAATTATTAATTTATAATATTATCACCTCAAACAGAATGACGTCAGTCTGACGTATCTGTTGGATTATATGCCATTATATGCAATCAAATGGTTCGTATGGCGAGAAATAATGAATTCATGGAATATATTTTATATGCTTCGTTTTCTGAACTGTTTACATATGTCCAGTGTAATGTTTGTTTGGTACACTCGACTTGCATGGTTACATCGGGTTGTTCTTTTCTCTCGTGGACGGTGCATTCAAATGTCGCAGAGAATTATTTACAGACACAATGAACGTCTTCCATTGGAAATGTTCAATTGTACTTTTAATTTCGCTTGAGTTGATTCAATTGTTACAATTAACTCAGAAAATGCTTCATTGATCTACAGTCTTGTCACTAAGCAACGCGGTCAATGCAATTTCAATTGCTTCATGAAATGGCGCGTGGAAATAAGGTGACGTCAGCGATGACGTTTGTAGCTGATAAATCTTATTCAAAGTGATGTAAACAAAGTTTATTAACTTATTCTTCGCATTGTGTCATGATCTATGTTTATACACAGTCCCTCTATCCTCTATCTATAGGGGAATGTGGTTTATACACAGTCCCTCTATCCTCTATCTATAGGGGAATGTGGTTTATACACAGTCCCTCTATCCTCTATCTATAGGGGAATGTGGTTTATACACAGTCCCTCTATCCTCTATCTATAGGGGAATGTGGTTTATACAACTATTGGGTGTCCATACATGTCTGGGTGAGATCGACGCCCGCCGTGGAGATGTCACCAATAAGCTAGAGGAATGCCGGATATTAAACATCAAACTTGGTCCTTGCTATTTGCAGCCAAGACAAACCCATTGCACCGATCACACACAGTTAGCTACATCAATGTACATTATGATTAATTCGATTAGGTATTCCAGTGGATTCGGAATAACCGTGGATGCCCTTTTTCTAATGGCGAGAGCTGACTGAGTGTAGTCCCTGATTAATGTATTCGCCTGGGAACCCACACTGCTCATGCTACACCCCGGAGCATCCAATGTGTAAGATAACGGCGAGATATCGATCGTATCCGTATTAAATACACCCCTGAAATTATCTTACGGCATTTTCCAAGTCTTGGCTACTTTTACACGTAACATTACTCTCTTTATTTCGATAATAATAAATGGAATCCGAATTGTTTTGTTCACCAGTCCCTCTGTCCCTCAGGAGTTCATGTCGTGTTGAAAATAATGGTATCAGAATAATACGGTCACATGAAAGGTTCTTACTTGGATTCAATTAAATGAAACTGCAGACCACATAAGCAGCTTATGCATGCATTGAATAAAACGAACAAGAAAGAGCAGTACAATTATTTAAGATTGGACTAATATAACTCGTACCGTGGTGGCTAAAACCGTATATATAATCCCTAGCGGTCAATAATGAACACAACTGTCCGCGGGACAATAAAATAAAACAACTGCGCAATTCACTTAGACTACCTACAGGCACACCTGTTTGTGTTGTCGCTCGGCTGTTTTATTTTGTTTGTTCTTTTTTTACTGTTATTTTGTTTCCAGGTCATTTCTTTTGACTTAAACTCTCGGTTGCTGGACAATAACTGGTGATTGCACTCGTTTTTATTTACTGGCAGTCGACGGGGTGTATCTTGTTATGGGACCACACAATACACGAGACACACACCCTTAGTATTAACTAGGTTCGTTGAACAGGTCTGAGTCACGTGTCTCGGACTTATTTATTATTTGTACAAAGCGTCCGTCCTCTATCTATTCTAACTGCTGTGTGAGAATGTAAATTTGCCGATGTTTCTGCTACTTAAATACAAGTACATGGAAATGTTCGGAAATGACGTGTTTTAACGTGAATGTTACCGCTAGTTTGATTTAGTGCAAAGGTCATTCATTCTTTTGGTAGAATGACAACAGTGTCAACTAAAAGAATGACCATTGTCTTTTAGAGATACATACACACAAGGGAGGGAAGAAAACTTGTCAAGTGGTTTTCATGTGTATGGTTACCAAGGACGCTATTTAGACTGGTTGCTGGGGGATCACCACGTGATATGGATGGCCAAGGGTCACCCTTCCTACACACTAAGGTGTGGTTGTTTACCTGGCACTAGTTAAAGTCGTATAGAGAAAATAATCGAGGTGATTTATTATTAGGAAGTCGGTAACTACGACTAGATAAGCTTGAAAATAGTCCTTGAATGTTACTTACATATTACATGATTGACTTGGTGACAATTACGTATAAGCACCGGTATTTTGCTCACTACTACAAGGGTATAAATAAAGTAAAATATACCGAGGTGGAATTTGTTAGATATACGACAAGGTTGCCTTGGGTTACATCACAATACCTCTATCTCGAGCGATGTGTTCACATTACTGCGATTAGAACAGTGAATTCCTCCAATATTCATGTAGTTATGATATACTGTTAAATAATAAAGTACAATTGAGTAGGCATAACAGGACACAGTACTGCCTGTACATACGTAGTGTCCTCTACAGCTGCCCGACTAAACTTACACTCCCATGGACGACAAACATCTGTAAACCAGCATTGTGCATATAAAATCAATGAGTTCACGTTTTATTTTTAAAAAAAAATATCTAAGCCATAAAATTACAAGTGTAACAATGAAGCTAGATCTACAAAAATAATGGAAAGTCGATCCAGCTGAATGAAGGTGAACATTTCTAATTACAATTATGCCTAAATATATTATCTGTTAGCAAAACCATGCATATATGGACCTAAATGTTGTGTACAATTTAACATAAAATGACCATGGTAGTGATGATACAAGCGTGTATGCATGGGTGCCTACAACACAATGTAAATCCTGATTTAACCCATGTTAATTGCCTTCGTTAAATCGTACTTGCCTTGAATACTTACTGCACCAGTTATCAAAACACTACAAGGTCGATATGTCGACCACATAGACTCATTCCTATGCGTCTATTAATCACCAGAATCGTAAGTAAAATGCACTAAAACACCATTGCTTATCTTTGGTCAATCCAGAAAATATAGTAAAATACACCACAGGTAACCTTTGGTCAATTTCATGGTTAAAAGTAAGATACAACACAAGACAAATTGTGTCAATGCAGAGAATTAAGTAAAAATACACCACGGGTATATATGGTTAACTCAAAGCATATGTAATAATACTGGTCTCTTTGGTCAATCAATAACATTTAAATGAATTGGATTAATTGAATTTCTTAATCCTAAAAGTGTTAGTAGACATTGTCAGTAAAACGATATTTCTTTCCACATTATCCACGTGCAAGTACAGGAGTAGTTAGAACTCACATATGTATTATGTATAGTGCTGGTAACAATCAGGAACAAAACTTAACTAAAAGCGAAAATATGACAGGGTGTGTTGGTGGTAAAGAATGTATGTATGGTTGTACAGACCCTGCTCACGAAAATACGCATGGAATCAAATACTGATTTATAATGGCAAACCTCAATTTTTTATATTGAAGATTTTGGTATCTCGTGTCACTTCGTACAACGCGTTCTCACATACCAAGGGAAAGTAAAGTACGATGACCTATGTGAACCAGTCAATGAAAGTAACAATAATGAGATTTATACTTTCCCGTTGGCTTAGTTCGTAATGTCTGCCCAATACAACATGTGTGTCCAATAGATTGGATAATTGTGAACACATCGTTGGTTATATTTGGGTGTCTTACAGTAACCATGGTACCAGCCATATTGCCATAATAATGAAATTCTTTTCACATCATCATAGCAGTATCTCACAGTGACCGTCATAATTTAGAATGCGTGACCGTGTTGCATATATTTTTGCGAGGAGGCGTCGGTAAATGTAAGCACCATGGAGTACGACTCATAGTTGTGTACCGTGTTAATGATAGGTGCCGTCATCTATTCTCGGGGCGGACATTCGGGCATTTCACCTAGCAACCATCACGGTGAAAACAAAGGCCGAAAACTCTCGGAAAACGGTTCATTGGCCCCTGCGTGTTTAACATCTATAAATTTGGTTGTTCAGGATTACTACAAAGTTAGGTTTGTGTTGTTTTCTGCACGGAATTTAGCTATTTTCACCGACGTAGCTTCGCTCTCGAAAATAACAAGAAGTTCTTCCTAAAAATTACGCATTGATTATCGGCGAATCACACGTATGTCATCACAAGGATACCATACACAGCTACGTAGCGATTGGGTGTTGGATGCAATATCTGAATACGCTAATGTTCAACTGCTACGTTATCGTCCTCATTTGGTATATAATAAGTTCAAATATTCTAAATTGGCGATAAATCAACTATCTTCAAATTAACTAATTAACTCATTATATGAATCGAATTATTAGTTTTTGTTACACTCATATTTCGCCACTTGGTGGCGCTACGTTCTGGTCTATTCTCCACCCGTTTCATGTAAAACGTTCCGGTTCAGAGTTACCGTGCCGTGAGTTATAATTATCGTTTGCCTTTACTTAAGATTTACATTTTAACGGAATTAATATTGGTAACACAACGAGAATGTTGTGAGGGCGTAGTCCAAAACAATTCTCCGTTCGTCCGTGATACACCCCGGCTGCTTAGATTTAGTATCGGATAATGCACAAGTAGGGCGCAATCATTTACACGAATGTCCTGTTTTCAAGTTTGACTAATTTTCTAAAGTGAAAACTCTTCGTTCTAAGACTTTATTAAGATTTAACGTATTAACGTGAATGCAATCGATAGACGGTATAGTTAACCTATTCTCTCTTTTTTTTTTATTTTAGGCGCCCGCTGAATTGGAATCAGCCGTTGGGGGCGTTACGTTCCTGCCACCACTCGGGGAAGACATGTGAGTTTTCTATTTTAAAAAAATATCATGAATCACTGACTATGGTATATTTACGTTTAGGTAACGAACTATAACACAGCGGCATAATTGGGTCACCAAGGGTCAATTACTTGTGATAAAAAGTCGAAACCTACGGTATAGTACACAGAAATTTCTCGGTTCGTTACGTAGTGAAGAATCTGTCACTGGTTGCAGACAGTTATTCACCATTACAGAATAATACAATTAATATTTGATTTGTTCACATATCTCGGATTACTGAGTTCCCTTTGATTTTTGGGCAGCGTGTCGAATTGGAAACAACCTGCACGGCTCCACGCGCTGACATGTCTTGTGTTGAATGACATTGTCATGACGTTTTTAACACTCAACAATTGGCCGTATCTGTACATGAATCTGGCAGTTAGACAATATGGGTAGCTTAGATGTAGTAATATTATTATTATTCGTGACCAAATGAATAATTTTTAAACTACTGAGTGCAATAACTCGCGTCTAAAGAGTGACATTTAATCATAAGTTTCATAATGGCGAGCGGACTGTCAATAGTAGGAAAAAAAGTTGAATTCCAGACACCGACATACTCTCCAAGACGCAACAGGTACGTAATAGACCGGCGGATGTAAAAGGACATATTTTGTGACAGTTGTGTCTGTTTCATAAGTCGAACAACGAAATCATGTTAATTGTGGAGAATTGTTGTTATTCGTGCTGATTTCGTCGAAGAATTTTTCAATTTTTTAAGGTTCGGGTGTAGTAATTTTAATGTCAAGCAGTTTCGTGTGCAACCATCGTGTGCAACGACGAACATTTGAGGTCGAATCGTCGTGCCTGGAAGAAAATAGTCCACAAAAAATATAGGATATTAATGACTATTAGCTTTACCAGAACACAGATAAGCTTAAGGTTCTGTAAATTAGTTTTCAATTAAAACGTACAAATTGAACTTCAGTCACGTTAACATAGTTTTACTTACAGTTTCAAAAAAAGTATTAGGTATAGTCATATGAATTTTTATTTTACTGAATTTGCCGTATTCAAAAAATAGGTTGGGTCGACAACTTTCCCGTTGTTTGAGCTATGCCAGCGGTAAGCCAACACCAGCCAGACATTGTTTCTGGAAGTTACCAACATTTCGTAAATATTTGCAGATTAGTCATAGACATAGTCATGACTGGTACTCTACGACGATTACAATTGACATTACACACATTATCACTCACACTACATACAAATTTATTATGAATTCACTGCAAATGCAATGATTTCCTATCTAAATATATTTTGATTATATTGGTTTATACTCATGTATATGCATTTGTATTGTATATTGAGTCGGATAATTACTATTTTGAATGTTTGTTTCATTTCAGATTTTTTGAAACCTTGGATAATTTTCCAACACTCTATCCCTTTCCTGTTGATGATTTTAAGACTATTGGTCGTCTACCTAAACAGAAAGTCTACTTGCCATTCGTGGACACAGCGGTGCTGCATCCCAAATTTGTTACCTCAATAGAAATTCGTGACAAGCAATATGAGATCCCCACGTTTTGCTACGGTTGCCGAGGCTTTGTCGATCCGTTCCACGAACACGATGGCGAGCATAAATCGAAAGACGACAAGGAAGAAATAGGGGACATTCATCTTCCACCTGGATTATGCTACGCGTGCGCTCTAAGTAATGTCCCACAGTAAGTATATTCGTTGTCATAACAACCATTGATTATTTTAAATCTGTATGCTCTTTACGACCCATCTTTTGCGACTTATAAATCGCAATGCATCATGGTCAGCGTTAACCTACTGTGAAACAAACACATAGTTCCTTTATTTTGTTAGTTGTTGAGTACACGGCATTATTTGACCCTTGTACATGCTGCCAAGTTCAGCGTGTTTGTGCGTTTGTACACCCTGAAAGTTGACATGAAATTGACACGTGACATATGTATGTAGCACCTGTACAGTACATGGTGGTGTGTTAATTTCAACTCCGTCTCTGCCGGTTACAGTTTTTACCAGTTTTTCGGGGTTTTGAAACGGATAATGGCCTCCCAACTAATTGTTCGTGGTTCAAATATGGTCATTGCACCACCTCGGTAGGTAGGACTCATGGCAAAGTATGTTGTAAACTATGGGGGGGGGGGTAAAAAAGATATCGTTGTAGGCTGCTGGGTCGTATAATCGTGACTTCGTACCGTACTTGGTTAATAAACACGTTGTACGATTGTTATGCGACCGTGAAATCGAGCATATCTTGCGATCACGAAGAGACACCTACTCATCTGTAACTTTATTTTATCGATTTAAACGAAAGATTTGGTCACAAAGCCTAATTACTTTGAGAGTTATGTTCTTCCTCCATGGTTGAAGTATGTCTACAGAGACAACATTATTTCGTGTATCTGAAACAAAGATTTGATTTGATTCATTTTATCTTTTCTAGTTTTCATCATGAACGACCTGTCAGAGTTGGTGGCGGTTTTTCGTATTTCCGACGAGACAAACCCATAGATTTTGGTATCCACATAACGCCACCATCACGTAAGCCTGTACCGGCACCTACACTAGTCCGTTATCAACGTAAGCAAAACACTACATACTCAAATATATCATGTAAAAAAAAAACTATTTTGTCCTCAATCTTTCTACAATTGTTATATCGTTGGTTGTTTTCTGTCATGCTGTGATGCAAGATAACAACAGTAATTCTCTCTTTAGTTGACCAGGGCAGTTACCAAGACAACGGACAAGGTGGTGTACAAGTAGATAAATTACAGGAACCCGCTCGCCATCCACCTACTGTAGCCAGAGAAGTGCCTCCAAGGTTCCCACAGTTTTTACTTGACGAAAACGCACAACCTAAGATATATGAAGGTTAGTTAGGTCACAATGATTACAAAGTAAATGGCGTATTAAACATGTATTTTCTATTCAGCAGTAATTTCTGAATTTATCGGTCGTTTTGAAAATATCATAGAACATTCTATCTGACCTAGTGTGTTGCCAATCACGTTGTATACAATACTTGCCAAATACAACTGTATATAGTACAGGGTAAATTAAAACATATGCATACTTATGTACGTACGTAAACAAATATAATAACATAAAGTTAAGAAATCATGATTTGCTTAAACTTAACTTTTGTATTATTATTGTTAATTCCCCGGACGTTCTCAGCTGTTTGCTACGCATGCTCCAAAGGTGATCATTCTATTTTCAAATCTCCTACGTTATGTGTCGTCATATAGTGACGTATCTGTTCTATCGTGACGCCATGTGTTATGATTAGTAAATATATAAATAAGTTAAAATAAATAAGATAAGATAAATAGGTTTCAGTGTTACATAGCTTTGTCTGACATTAACCTTGGCTGTATTTGTTTTTACCACGTGAGCAAAGATGCGGTTTCAGTAGTACCAATATTTCCGGTTTCCATGGACTAGTTAAGTATCAAGCTTACCGAACTAAATCATTATTGCGCTATTTTGAGTTGCGGCTATTGCTCCTATATTCACTGAAACGTGTTCTAAAAAATGTCCATTATAGAAGGAGGTATTGTTTCCGTGTGAATTAGACTGTAGTCGCATCTATGCTTGTATTCGTCACTGATTGAGAGAATTGTGAGTACTTACTCACAATTTTTATCATCCAAAACAATGTCAACTTATTTTCTTAAAACATAACAAGCCACAAACTAATGACAAGGCAATGTCATATTTTTTGAGTCACGATACATTCCGTTATAATACAGTGTTTCTCTGTGTAATGCACGTTTTTGTCGTTCTTTAAAAAGGTGACATCTTTCTTCAGTGTTTTGTGAATTGTACATCAACGCATGTATTAATACATTTTATTCTATTTTTTGTAAAAGTATGAAATTTATTTCAAGATAACATAAATATTTTAATTATGTATTGACAGCTGCGAATGAATATTATGTAAAACTTGCAATGACGTTCA